TGCAAACGGATGAAGACAGTAAGTATACGATTGCACAGGTTACTGTCAGGTTACTGCTGCAGCTTCACAGACGCTGTTTGCAGGTTTGCAATATTACCCAAATTTATACTGTTATGAAGAGAAAAAAAGTTCATCTATTGATGGCGTTGAACAATGCAGTCTTTCAACAGATTCACGGTCGTTTCGCCAACGTCCTGTTCCGTCTTAAGTCATTTCACTTACGTGTTAGGTCGGTTCTCTTACTTCTTTCGTCTGATCTGTGGCTAAAAGAACGAGGCATATGCTTGTGAAACGTTCGTTTCGTTTCTTAGCGAAACGACCGGTCACTTGCGATTAACCGAACGAAACCTATAAAACAAGACCATGCTTAAATAGAGGGCAATATGAGACAAGACTGGTTGACTGTTGCTAGCCCACAGCTTCAGGTAAAAACGTGGAGCGCTTTAGTACATACAGTACCGCTCAAAAGTAAGTTACCAGTCGCGTCTATGGGCCATCGCTCGCTACGAGAATCGTGTCCTACGCTACAGGAATCGCGTAGCGCTCGACGAAAACCGCGTAGCAGGCGACGCGATTCGCGTCTCGCGAGAGGATGGTAACTTACTTTTGAGCGGTACTGTAGTTCTTATTTCTTTAGCCCAAAGTTTTTCTTTAATGATGTTGAGTGATCAGAATGTCTCCTACCCCTGGGAAACAGCTAGGCTAACAGGAAGAACGATAATGCCATATCGTATTTCAGTAGGACTAGAAGTTCTCATTGAGGGAAGTGCTGCCGTTAGTTGCGATGCGAATAATAGGACAAAGAGAGTATGTAGAACAGTTGAACATATGAATTTTTGTTATTAACGCTTTTAACTTAGACTTGTTGGAATTATGAACGCTCAGAGCGAAATATAAAAATTAAACCGATCACAATGACAAGTATGCTTACATTCAGATAACACGCTAAAGTTTCAATATGATTTTGTAATTCATTTAATAATTCTAAAACAACAGCAGTGCTGATAGGCTGTTTCCTCATCGAACAATCATCGTACACATGACGAGAAGAGTTGCGAGCAAATAACGTAAAGGCCAAAACTTGTTTATTCACAGGACAGGTAGATGTACAGCACATGCCGTTCTCTTATGCAACTTACAATCCGCCTGATTCCCGAGATAACAATCTGTGTGACAAAAGAATACTCCCTATAACTAGTAATAGTTGACACTAAGGCTGCCCCGCTCTGTATATAGTATTCTTGTTCCTTGTGTAGCTCTTTGAAATATACCGATTTATAATGAAGATGTTCACACATATTCCATTCAATAGTTGAGATAAATACAGGAAATAAACGCAAGGTTCCATGCACAGTTTCGGTTCGATTTACACAGCTTTGATCAAAACATTATCATTCTAAGTTTCAAGAATAGTTTATTCTAAAGCATAAGAAAAGATTTAATTAGAAGTTTAATTTTTTGCTATTTATATTTCACTTTTTACATTTAGTTCATTTCATTTGCCGGAACGTAAGCCTTAGAAATTAAAAGTACGTTTGATCAATTCACGCTCGCGCATTCTAGTCTTAGTTAAACTTTATGGCGGAAGGGCATCTGTGAGCAGGGAATAAGTCCGAGCACAGAATTTGGTGGTCGGCGAATTTCTGTAATCGTCTATCGTTCTGCTAGTGATAAGCTAGCCGTTGAATCATTCACTCGTCTTGCTTGTTTTGGGCCGAGTCTTATTCCGGTCAAAGAGAGAGAAAGAGTGTCTGGCAAGGTTCAGCTGAAGGTTTCCAATCAAAGATTTGTGAACTCGTGTCTGGCAAACTCACTTAGTAATAAAATATACACTGTTCTGCGCACCTTATAACTTCATCTGCGCTTAACGACTGTCTTTTGGTCCATAACTTTCATAACAACTGCTCCACAGAATGTCACTGATAACACGTAACGCAAAAGAGTATCGAAGTATGCCTGCACAATTAATGTCACAAAATCTACCTACTGAAAGTTGTTCCTTCGGGATTTTTTGTGTTTGACGTCATCCTAACCATTTCGTACTTGCGGGCGCAAACAATAGAAACGTCATCATTATCATCCGATTGCTCGCGGCCCCTGTTCAAGCAAATCGAGATTTTTTCGATACTGACTGTATGACCGTATATTTCAACCGTAAGTACTTCCCTTATATACGAGTGCCTCCTCGGGATTTCGCCTTCTGGGCGAAATCACTGCGGGGGCAACTAATGTTGAAACCTAGAATAATTAAAAAAAAAAAACGAAAAAAAAAAATGTTCAGTACAATAGTTCTTCAACTGTTCTTACCATTTAGGTCGCAAACATCTGATGGACTACGATTTCTGCCCAAGGGAAAAACAGGCGCGGAAGCTAAGCACTTGCTTTAACAAAACGCTGACTGCACAGCGCTGAAGTCACAGATTGATTGAACCATGAACCAAAAATCTCAAATCGCTCAAGAATATGGTCTGCTGCCGGCTGATGCTCGGCAGCAGAAAAAAAATATAAAACGGCAAAATTAGGTATTCACTGTATTGTAGAACCAAAATGAGATCCAAGGAATGCGCAAGAAACATCGTTAGTAGCAACGAAATAACTTTTCTAACTCTTTGAACAGCACGATTATAAGTAAACTTATTACCTCTTAATTTGTTTATCGGAGCCAGATGGTGCACCACAAAATGTGGGTGGACAAAACACCAGTTCAACCAGTATTTCAGTAAGGTGGGATGAAGTGCAAGCTGAGTTACAGAATGGTGTCATTACTGGTTACAATATAACGTACCAGTCACTGACAGACAATGACAGCGGATTTGTAACAGCTGGTCCTAATGATCGTCAGGTGAACCTAACGGGGCTGAAGGAGTTTGTTGAGTACAATATTTCAGTGGTTGCTTTCACAATGAAAGGAGATGGACCTCCCTTTGTTTTTATTGTTAGAACAGACCAAGATAGTAAGTCTTACAACACTTTATTATTATTGTTATTGATATGGCAATCAGTGTCAGCGTTTGCTTATTTGTTTGTTTGTTTTTCGGGTTAGTATAGCGACGCTCAGGCTGATGTCATCATCTCATCTATCGATGGAGATGGATCGCCTTCTATTATTATTATTAGAACTGACGAAGATAGTAAGTGACGCATCTTAGTGTAAATCAAATAATGCATTAACATTTGAATTCAGTAGCACGTAGACAAAGTGGCAATGGTTTTTTGGGCCTGTACAGCTTTCACATTCAAACTTAATTTACAATTTTGGAACCGGTGGTAGATAGTCAGCTACAGTCGAAAAAAAACAACAACAACAGATAGAAAAGTTTCGTTAATATTCAGATATTACTCAGGAGCAGAGACTTATCAGTAAGTTTACAATGATTTTGGATTCTGATTCCAGCCAAAAGGGAAAAAATTTAAGGTGGACATCCTTTGAAAATGGCCAACGTTGCTGCGTAATGATTTTTTTTTGCAACCAATTAGAGTGGTCTGGAACACGGTAACTGATATGGCCATCAATAATTCCGTTGTCCCTAATAATTCCGCTGCCAGTGTGTACGTCATGGACTTATATTTTATTGGTACAAAGACCAATACATAAAACGTAATTTCATAGCAACAAATCAATGTTTTCTATCTGGACTGTAACTTAAGCACAGTTAAGAAAATGAACAAGCAGAAAAACAAAAATAACTAACAGAGCTCGTTGTAGTAGTTTTATGTTCACCTTGTACTTGAAACGTAACCGTCGTTCAACGCAGCTGTTTAAACTAGATCGTAACTTTCGCTTGCAAATTTGTACTAAACGTAACGTTTATCCACACGGAGTAACTGATTATCTGGCAGAATTACTTTTGAAAAATCATTGGCCTGTACTTTTATTTTTTCACCGGAACCATACATGTAGCAGTGAGCAGATTCCCAGTGTCCGTAAAGCGAGGTTTAATTTAATTTTATCATACGTACATGTATTTACCATAGTATGTCTTTTCACTCAGTTAAGTGCCTGAATAGCCTGAGAAAACAGCCGACATTTCGCAACGCCATCAGTAGTTTCCCCGCGAAATGACATCTGAGGAACGAGTGCAGAAATTCCATACTGATGACGCGTCACTACCCAGATCTGGGTAATGCTTCTGATTGGTCGTGCCGCGTAGGAAATTTATTTCAACTAATCAGAAGCACTACCCAGATCTGGGTAGTGACGCGTCATCAGTATATGTAGCTAGTTTTTCAGGGGCCTAGAAAACAGGATACTAGACATTTGCTACAAAACCTTTGTACATTCTTTTTTCTGGAATACGATCAATCGAACGCACTCTTATTTCAAAGGTCTATTTATGAATAAAATAACAGCCCCGTAACCCATACAAGGATGCGCCTTTGCGGAGGTAGCAATTGTAAAATTCGGCACATATTATGGACCTCTTTCTTGCTTGTTCTTTACTTCAGTACCAAGATTAACTTTATACTTGTTTATCAGAACCGGATGGAAAACCACAAAACGTCAGTGGACATAACACCAGTTCAACCAGCATTTCAGTATCGTGGGAAGAAGTGCAAGCTAAGTTACAGAATGGTATTATTACTGGTTACAATATAACGTACCAGTCACTGACAGAGAATGACAATGGATTTGTAACAGCTCGTCCTAATGATCGTCAGGCCAACCTAACAGAACTAAAGGAGTTTGTTGAATACAATATTTCAGTGGTTGCATTTACAGTGAAAGGAGATGGGCCTCCCTTTGTTTTTATTGTTAGAACAGACCAAGATAGTAAGTCTTACAACACTTTTATTATTATTATTGCTACTGCATTCAATGTCAGCGTTTGTTTGTTTGTTTGTTTGTTTGTTTGTTTTTTTCGGGTTAATTAGTATAGCGAAGCTCACGCTGATGTCATGATCTCATCTACCGATGTTCATGTGCTAACCCTAACCTTTTTTGGAATACGATCAATCGAACACACTGTTATGTGTATTTCAAGGCTCTATTTCTGAATAAAATAGCAGCGGCATCGGCCATTAAAGGATGCGCTTTTGCAGGGATACCAATTGTTCAGCAAATAAAATAGAAAAAAAAATGTAAAATTGGGCAATATTATAATGTGCCTCTTGCTTCCTTGTTCTTTACTTCAGTATCAAGATTAACTTTATACTTGATTATCAGAACCGGATGGAAAACCACAAAACGTTAGTGGACGTAACACCAGTTCAACCAGCATTTCAGTATCGTGGGAAGAAGTACAAGCTGAGTTACAGAATGGTATTATTACTGGTTACAATATAACGTACCAGTCACTGACAGAGAACGACAATGGATTTGTGACAGCTGGTCCTAATGATCGTCAGGCCAACCTAACAGAACTGAAGGAGTTTGTTGAATATAATATTTCAGTGGTTGCATTTACAGTGAAAGGAGATGGACCTCCCTTTGTTTTTACTGTGAGAACAGACCAAGATAGTAAGTCTTACAACACTTTTATTATTACTATTATTGCTATTGCATTCAATGTCAGCGTTTGTTTGTTTGTTTGTTTGTTTTTTTCGGGTTAATTAGTATAGCGAAGCTCACGCTGATGTCATGATCTCATCTATCGATGTTCATGTGCTAACCCTAACCTTTTTTGGAATATGATCAATCGAACGCACTCTTGTATGTCAGTATTATTTCTGAATAAAATACCAGCCGCATTGGCCATAAAAGGATGCGCTTTTGCAGGGATAGCAATTGTTCATGCAGTAAACATATCATGATAGAAAAAAAATATAAAATCCTGCAATGTGCCTCTCGCTTGCTTGTTCTTTACTTTAGTACCAAGATTAACTTTATACTTGTTTATCAGAACCGGATGGAAAACCACAAAACGTCAATGGACGTAACACCAGTTCAACCAGCATTTCAGTATCGTGGGAAGAAGTGCAAGCTGATCTACAGAATGGTATTATTACTGGTTACAATATAACGTATCAGTCACTGACAGAGAATGACAATGGATTTGTAANAGGCCAACCTAACAGAACTGAAGGAGTTTGTTGAATATAATATTTCAGTGGTTGCATTTACAGTGAAAGGAGATGGACCTCCCTTTGTTTTTACTGTGAGAACAGACCAAGATAGTAAGTCTTACAACACTTTTATTATTACTATTATTGCTATTGCATTCAATGTCAGCGTTTGTTTGTTTGTTTGTTTGTTTTTTTCGGGTTAATTAGTATAGCGAAGCTCACGCTGATGTCATGATCTCATCTATCGATGTTCATGTGCTAACCCTAACCTTTTTTGGAATATGATCAATCGAACGCACTCTTGTATGTCAGTATTATTTCTGAATAAAATACCAGCCGCATTGGCCATAAAAGGATGCGCTTTTGCAGGGATAGCAATTGTTCATGCAGTAAACATATCATGATAGAAAAAAAATATAAAATCCTGCAATGTGCCTCTCGCTTGCTTGTTCTTTACTTTAGTACCAAGATTAACTTTATACTTGTTTATCAGAACCGGATGGAAAACCACAAAACGTCAATGGACGTAACACCAGTTCAACCAGCATTTCAGTATCGTGGGAAGAAGTGCAAGCTGATCTACAGAATGGTATTATTACTGGTTACAATATAACGTATCAGTCACTGACAGAGAATGACAATGGATTTGTAAAAGCTGGTCCGAATGATCGTCAGGCCAACCTAACAGGACTGAAGGAGTTTGTTGAGTACAATATTTCAGTGGTTGCATTTACAGTGAACGGGGATGGACCTCCCTTTGTTTTTATTGTGAGAACAGACCAAGATAGTAAGTCTTACAGCACTTTTTTTTTTCTATTCTTATTACTATTGAAATTAGTCTCAGCGTCTGTTTACTTGTTTGTTTTTTTTTCGAGTTAGTATAGCAACGCGTAGGCTGATGTCATGATCTCATCTATCGATGTTTATCTGCTAACCATAACCTTTTTTGGAATACGATCAATCGAACGCACTCTTACATGTCAGTATTTCAAGGCTCTATTTCTGAATAAAATAGCAGCCACATCGGCCATTAAAGGATGCGCTTTTGAAGGGTAGCAATTGTTCAGTAAGCAAAATAGAAAAAAATATAAAATCCTGCAAATATTATAATGTACAGACTTTGGCATGGACCATACTTGATACAACCAAGATTAACTGTATACTCTTTCATCAGAACCGGATGGAAAACCACAAAACGTCAGTGGACGTAACACCAGTTCAACCAGCATTTCAGTATCGTGGGAACAAGTGCAAGCTGAGCTGCGGAATGGTATTATTACTGCTTACATTATAACGTACCAGTCACAGACAGAGAATAACAATGGATATGTAGAAGCTGTTCCTAATGTTCGTCAGGCCAACCTAACAGGACTGAAGGAGTTTGTTAAATACACTATTTCAGTGTTTGCATCTACAGTGAAAGGAATTGGGCCGCCTTCTGTTCTTGATGTTAGAACAGACCAGGATAGTAAGTCTTACAACACCTTTTTGTCTTAATTATTATTGCAATCAGTGTCAGCGTTTGTTTACTTGTTTGTTTGTTTTTTCGGGTTAGTACACCGATGCTTAGGCAGACGTCATGATCTCATCTATACAGTCATCTATCGATGTTTATGTGCTAACCATAAGCACATTTTTAAGTATGATCGTCGCAGTTGTAGTAGCAATGAAAACACTAGGCCATTTAATCAGTCCGAGTTGCCTTCAGCCTCTGTTTCAAAGCGGAGTTAAGCGCAAAGCCACTGATATGAAAATACGCAAATTTCACTGATGATTTCCACTTTGCCTGGTTTTGAAAACAAGAGTTTTTGGTACTCGGAAATGGCCTATTAAGAATTGTAACACAACTACGTTGGACTTTGAAGCTAAAGCCAAATCAGCTAGTCTGTCGCGCCGTCTTCGGATAGCCGTGAACTCTTTCGCCAAAAATTTTACAATCTTAATCTTTTTGTACCTTGCTACATTGTTTTTAATACAAAGGTGTTTTCAATACTGCCCTCTATCCGTGCACTATGTATTTAGTTAACCAAATAAACTAATTAGAAGAAACCAGTCCACTAAAATACTACTTACATGGTACATGTACTTACATAATTACTTAGTATACAAGCCAGAGAAACCTCATCTTTCACCCCCACTTTAATACACATTGTCAACGCTTTGTTTAATATGGATTCTGCCTACCCTTTCTTTCTGTGATGCCAGGTTTTAATATTGCCCATTCTATAATAAGCTGACAATTGCCGACTATAGACCTGTCCCTTAGATGTTCAAAAGGTTGTTAACACTATGCACCAGGCTCCGGTGTTCAAACGTTGGATAGCGCTACCCACCGGATAAATCACTATCCAGCGGATAAGTATTAGGGAAACCAATTGCTCTATCCACTGGATAGATTTTTATCCCGTGGATAGCGGTAATAAACGTTTGAACAACCGGGGCCAGATAAATCTCTATCCACTGGATAGCGTATTTGTTTCCCTAATACTTATCCACCGAATAGTGATCTTTTTGGAGGATAGTACTATTCAGCTTTTGAACAACTGAGGCCTGAACGGGTTATTACTTGGTGTTACGGTGCACGAATTTATGCTAATTAGTATATGCCAACTCAATTCTTACTCCACAGGACTGAAATGTCTTGGCTCAGCAGGGGCACCCAACGAGAATATAGTTCAAAACCACTTAAACATAGCATTGTTGAACGTATTTTAGTATTTAAACGGTAGATATAGGCATATTTTTATCTCCTAAAATAATTTTTCATCTGTTCGGATTTCCTAGCTGAAAGTCTAGTGATCCGAAAATTAAAGGGATCAAAACTTACCTTTTCGAAAATTTCAGCCAGAAAAAAGGCTCCCGAAAATTCAAGGTGACCTTTTTAGGTGACCTTTCCGTTAACAATGGGCAGTTATACCATTTTTTAGAGGTTCGAAAATCCTAAGAGGGGCAGGCAAGCAACAAATTTTACAACAAATGTTCCAAAAATTCTAGATCTCCAATCGTCTTCCGAACAGATATTTTCCGAAAATTGACGTTGGGTGCCCCTGGCTCAGTTAAATATATGTTACATAACAAACCAGTAATAATCAAAGAAAGGCTCTCTCTCCTCTGGCAAGTTTGCGACGACATTGTAAGACTTTCACAAAACGCGCGTCTTCGTCGCCTGGTTGGGTCGCTTCGCAACCTTATTAAAGCTCACTTTGCTTGCTTTTGTGTCACTAACAAATTTTTACCATGTAGTACTGGGCCCAGTTGTTCAAAAGGTTAACAGCGCTATCCATCGGATAAATCACTATCTAGCGGATAAGTCATTAGGAAAACCGATTGCACTATCCACTGGATAGCGTTATCTACCTTTTGAACAACTAGGCCCTGATCAATAAAAAGGAGTCGACTTGGTGCAAGTCTATGCCCTCTTTTCAATGCAAAATCTAGGGGGATGCCAGGTTTTTGCCCCAAGATCTTTGAATCAAAGACGGTTCAGCGGTTGTCGCAGTGATGCAAATAATTATTTTATTATTTTTTAAAAACTTTTTCAGGGCCAAGCGCTCCTCCAGTCAACGTCTCGGCACGCAGCCTGAGTTCTACCAGCATTTTGGTACAATGGGGAGAAGTGCCGGATACTGATAAAAACGGCATTATACTGAGTTACACTGTTAATTACAAAGCAACTCCTGAGGGTAATCCACAACTAAACCAGATAGTGAATGCTTCAACGAGGGAAGTAACGCTGACAGGACTCATCAAAAATACAGAATATAAAATTGAGGTGTTCGCTAATACTTCAAAAGGAGGTGGAATGAAAAGCGAACCCTTCACGGTGCAAACGGATGAAGACAGTAAGTATACCGAAAGTGAAGAATGATCATCGCAGTATAGTAAATTTTCCAATTTAAGCAATTGGAAAGAAGAAGCCTGAAAAAAAAAATCAGGGCTTCAACGGGATTCGAACCCGTGACCTCCTCGTTACCGGTGCGTTGCTCTACCAACTGAGGTGTGAAGCCACACATTGGGAGCGAGGTCAATTTATTGAGTTCATATCTCCCGTGAGCTCCCGTGAGGAGTGAAATGATGTGAAGTATATATGAAATAATTCATTTTTGAACTGCGGTTGTAGATGAAAGTGAAGAATGATCATCGCATTAAATTTTCCAATTTAAGCAATTGGAAAGAAGAAGCCTGAAAAAAAAATTCAGGGCTTCAACGGGATTCGACCCCGTGACCTCCGCGTTACCGGTGCGTTGCTCTACCAACTGAGCTATGAAGCCACACATTGGGAGCGAGGTCATTTGATTGAGTTCAGATCTCTCGGGAGGAGTAAAATGATGTGAATTTATTTTTAGTACGTGATACGTAATGCCTTGTCACGACACGAAAGACAATGCGGGATTTTATAGATTTATACCCGATTCTAGAACAATCACAATTATAATAAGTCGTCTCTTTTCTTTTTTATACATCGTATTTTACTGGAATAACAATCTTAGTTATGTTTTAGCCTCGCATACACAGCAGTAAAAAAAGGTAAAAATATTTAATTATTAAACATAAATTTATTCAGCGATTTTTCAAAATACAAAACTATTGTTTTGCGTCGCCGACCGTACTTCACGCCTGTCAGAGCAAAAGTAACAAGTTGTTTTGAAAAACTAAGTAATGAGCCATCCTAATTTCAATGTTATTATGAAAAGCTGTTACTATCGAAAACTGCGCAGCTTGTCACGTTCATAGTCAAGGATTATGTTACATGTGAATTCACGTGAAACGACCTTTGAACATCAACGCGTGCCCGATGCCCGATTTAACAACATTTTCCTAAAGCTTTTTGATAGACATGCTACTTATTGCTACTTACAAGTCGACCTTAAGAGTTTCTTAGCGAGCAGAGCGTTCTTTTTAGGCCGCGAGGCCACCGAGAGAGCTACGATTTCGCAAGTATTAAATTCTAGACATTCAAGTCGCCCGGCTGGGCCACCTAGACAATATTTTCAGTCGCCCGAGGCCAAGTCTTGCGCCGTTAGATGTAGAGCACAGCCTTGAGTCTTCGTCCCCTACGCTGTAATCTTACTTTTCCCTTCTTTGCTGACGCAGTATCTTTTTTCTGCTTGTGCAATCCAACCTGACTTGCACGTGATTCGAAGTTGCAGCCAATAAAAATCACACAATTTTTTCGGGACGGGCTCGAGATGCGGGAAAGTTAAAAAAAACAAGGCAATTTTTGACTCCCAAGACGACGAAAGGAATGCGCTCCCGAATTTAAGACGCTGGCTGACTACGTCATCCTGCGTTATTTAATGTTTTAATTATAAATCAAAGTATTCTGAATATTTTAAAACTATTTAGCGCTTGTCATGAAATTTTCTTCCTCTCTGCGTTTGATTCGTTGTAAAGCTGAAAAGGAAACTTTGTGCTGTTGAATTTTTGCAATGGTAATTAATCCTTCAGATATTTCTGTAACTTCAATATTATTCAACATTGATATTTTATTCATATCATTAAGCTTATGTAAGCTTATATTCAAATGGTATTTTCCTGTATATTTTCCTAGCATTTTCCGATAATGTTTTACACTAACTTGTTGGCCTGTTCTTGACTATGTGATGCAAAACATTGGCAGGCCTTTATTGAATTCATGCTGTGAATATGTATTACGTGTAGCATTGAGGCAGGGATGTCAAAAAGTTTTAAAGGGGCAGGCGGCTGATAATGAATAGTAGGCGGCTTTGGAACTTGCACCAAAGGTACAAGTTCTTGAGGGCCGAGGCATCTAGGGGCATTTTGGAATTTAGAGTCTCGGAAACGCCATTTCCAGGGGTTTTCAAGAGGTATTTTTCCACCGTGGACGCCATGTTGCTTCGTCAGAATACACGCGAGACTGGGAACTATGCCCCCGAAATGTCCTACGTGCTTCACGACATGGCACAGTTTAAACGTTTCAGAGATATATACATTCAATGTCATTCATCATCGTTATTTGATATTGGTACTTATTTTTTGTTAGCAGTTACGGTAGACGGAAATGAAAGTAGGCGGCTTAAAGGGGCTATGTCAGCTGGAGAGCATGCGCTCTGAGGTTATGCAAATTACTTTCAACTGTCAAAATTCTATTGTTTTTAACGCGTGACTTTCTCCATGTGCGCTCTGAGGTTATGCAAATTACTTTCAACTGTCAAAATTCTATTGTTTTTAACGCGTGACTTTCTCCATCTTCTCTGTCACGTCCAACGCTCCGAATTTAGAGAAGTTTTAAACAAGCAAAATGGATTTAGATAAGGCATATTTACGGAATTTACGGAACGTTTCTTCTCTGGTTATGCTAGATCAAAAATAAAATTGTGACGACAATTTTACTTGTAGTTTTGAAGTAAAAACGCATGCCATTCATAAAATAGAGCGCAAAAATTCAACAACAACGTATTGTCTTATTCAACAAAATAAATCGAGGTTGCAAATTTACAAACGAGCTACAAAAGTCGCTAGACCGAAGATAAAGA